TATTTGTTACCGGAGATATATTTTCAGGTTTACTAGAGAGTATTGTCGAGCTCTGTTTTGGTCAAATTCATATGCAACAACAAAAAACAATGTTTATGTTTGCAGATATTAGCTTGGGAAAGAAAGCAGGGATCATGAAGCTTTTGCATCTTTTCATAACATCATCGAAACCAGTAGTGGAGATTCTACTGATAACAACAGTTGGATGCTACATGGCTCTTGATGGAGTCAATCTTCTTGGTCAAGATGCTCGCAACGTTTTGAACAACGTCCGTTTATTACGTAATCATTTTCCTTCATGTGTTTCTAACACTACGTTGACTTTAACTTCTATTTGGTTTTGTGTGTATAGATTGTCTTCTATGTGTTTAGTCCTTCGCTTATTGGAGGCCGTTTAGCTAATAGTGTTACATATGAAAGCTTGATGCAAATGTAAGTTTATCATCTGGAGTTTACATCTTTTGTACTCTCTAGTTTATATAACGTGATAAATGATGTTTTTGTGGTCTTAGGTGGTTCATGCCGGTTAATGTTCTACTCACATTCATCATTGGTTCGTTTTTAGGCTGGATTGTTATTCTAATCACTAAGCCTCCTTCTCATCTTCGTGGTCTTATTGTTGGTTGTTGTGCTGCTGGTAACAAAACCTTAACATGATCTTTCTGAATATGTATTTTTGTTTCTTAATGATGTAATTAACGAAACTCAAAAACAGGGAATCTGGGAAGCATGCCACTAATCATTGTTCCAGCGGTTTGTAAAGAGAAAGGAGGTCCCTTTGGAGATCCTGAGAATTGTCTGAAGTATGGAATGGGTTATGCTGCACTCTCCTTGACTGTAAGTTTTCTTCTTCTTCATCAAGGTATTATGAGTGTATATCACGTTATATATATATATATATATATACTTGTAAGTTGTAATCATGGTTCTTCAAGACCTAGATGGCAACTCGGTCCTATTCGATTTTCTTTTTGTAACAAAAAAAATATTTTTCAACAATCTGATTTTATATGATTCAAATTGGTTTAAATTCTTCTATGTCTGTTAAATTCGATATAAATTACTCTAAATATATTAAATTAAGCATTTTTAACACAGTTAAACTAGGTAATTATGTTAGTAAAAATCCAAAAGTTTGTCTAATTTATTTTGTTTTGTATATTTTATTTTGATAATTCATCACAATAATTTTATAATTAAACTTATAAACTAAAATATCTTTTATAAATGTAAAATATATATAAAATAAACCGATAATTTGTTATTATCTAGGCCTCGGCTAAAATTATAATCCGTCTAGTCACTAGTCCTCTACTTATCGCATTTTCTTGAACATTGCTTGTAATGTTATCAGATAGGAGCAGTTTACATATGGACTTACGTNATAATTTTATAATTAAACTTATAAACTAAAATATCTTTTATAAATGTAAAATATATATAAAATAAACCGATAATTTGTTATTATCTAGGCCTCGGCTAAAATTATAATCCGTCTAGTCACTAGTCCTCTACTTATCGCATTTTCTTGAACATTGCTTGTAATGTTATCAGATAGGAGCAGTTTACATATGGACTTACGTATACAATCTTATGCGAGTGCTATCCAGCTCCCCTACTGAAACAAAATCTTCTACTGAATCCAGCTTGAAAGTCCCATTGATTTCTTCTAAAGAAGAAGATAACCAAAAGGTCTCATCACTTGGTCAATAACTATTCACTAATCAGAGTTTATTCTTTTGGTAATGACTGTGTCTATGTGTGAGTACTGTGTGACAGGTTGGGAGGTGGGACAAGGTCAAGCTAAGAGTGGTTTCACTGTCACAGAAAGTTAACTTAAGGACAATATTTGCTCCATCAACTATTGCTGCGGTAGAAAAATATTATGTTCATTTCATACTTATAACTGTAATTTTTTTTTAACTTTCTTATTATTTTGTTCTTCAGATGATTGCGCTTGTGGTCGGGCTCATTACTCCTATAAGGAAGCTAATTATCGGCGATGGAGCTCCTCTAGGAGTCCTTCAAGACTCAGTAACTTTAGTGGGGTAAGAAAAAGTCATTACCATAGTAAAAAAAAAAACTCACTCACTAGAAATTAAGTTTTAACTTAGCTTTCTTCTATGTCTTGTTGAAGAGATGGAGCCATTCCTGCTATGACACTGATAATTGGAGGAAACTTACTCAAAGGTATGAGGAGTTCAGGAATGAAGAAGTCAAGCATTATCGGCGTCTTGGTTGCACGTTACATATTCTTGCCAATAAGTGGTGTGTTAATCGTAAGAGGAGCACACAAGTTTGATTTGATTACCTCAGAGCCCTTGTACCAGTTCGTTCTTCTTCTACAGTATGCTGTCCCACCAGCAATGAATATAAGTTCGGTTCATGCAAACACTAACTCTGTTAACGTAAGAAAATAGTATTGTTTAAGTTTATTAAATGATTTAAAACCGCTTACTTGGCGCAGGTACAATAACTCAGTTGTTTGGAGCTGGAGAAAGTGAATGCTCAGTGATTATGTTATGGACTTACGCTTTGGCTTCCGTTTCACTCACTGTTTGGCCAACGTTCTTCATGTGGCTTGTGGCTAGTTAAATCCCTACACCACTCGATCTATATGTATTGTTTTGTTCCATTCTTTCAAGAGTTGAACTAGTGGACTGGATATGTATTGAAACCCATCATCATTTTCTTAAATACATTAGACTATGATTAACCTCAATTTTTTTCTTAGCATCAGGTAAGAGACGGTTATTAGTTTTTCTAAGATTTTAAATAAGAAAAGCTCAGAACCGTCTCTTAAATAAAAGATATAAGAGTCGTCTCTTATCCAAAAAATATTTTTTTTATCAAATCATGAATTAAGAACTGCGACTAAGAAACTGGAGTTAATTGTATTTTCAAGAGCATGATTTATCCACAGTTTCTTAGAACGGGATTTTTAAGAGAATTTAAAAAACTGTTTTTTAAATTATTAAATTTCTAATTAAAAATTAAGAAACTGTGTTTTATATTCTCCTAAAACCTCTGTGCTACACAATCAGAAGTAATAATAACTAGATCTCGACCCGCACAACCGTGCGGGTATTTTAATACAAAAATATTTGAAAATATATAATACTCTTTCCGTTTCAAATTAGATGATGTTTTAGAAGATTTATTTTGTTTCAAAATATAAGATGTTTTAAAATTTAAAGTATAGTTTAAGGTTAATTTTAATTTTATTGGAAAATGTTCAACCAATAAAACTTTACTTTTTGTAATAATTGGTTGAATGAATTTAAAATTATATCTGTAAAAATACTGTTGTAAAAAAATGTAAATTCCTTAATCTTTGCAATGATCCAACACATCATATATTAAGAAACGGAGGGAGTAAAATTTATCAATAAATAAATATAATTTGATTTTGTATACTATCTAATTTTATAATAATATTTATGTGGTTTATTATATTATTAATATAAAATTTATAAATTTGTATTTTATTAACAATTTTTGAAAATATTATTATGTAACATTACTAATATATATATATATATATATTTCTTTATTTCTAGATTTGAATTATATGTAAAAAATAAATTAAGTTTGAACTACATAATACATAGACAAAATTTTGGGATATTATTAAAAGTATTTTACAGAATTTTAATTGTTTGTTTATAAATAAAAATGATTTAAAATTTTAATTATATTTTATGATAACTAAAAATTTAATTAAATAATTTTTGAAACTATATCTTGAAAAGATTCTAAAAGATCTTTTAAAAGATTTTGTTAGATTTTTCTTAAAACTATTTATTTATATTTAAAATAAAAACTATATGAAAAGATATTATAATGATGTTATGTAAAATTTTATGAAATGTCTAAGGATAGTCCAAATTAAAAAATCACACATGGAGTGAGTCATGACTTCTTTTTTAATATAATAGACTAGATCTCGACCCGCACAACCGTGCGGGTATTTTAATACGAAAATATTTGAAATTATATAATACTTACTCTGTTTTAAATAGATGATGTTTTATAAGATTTATATTATTTCAAAATATAAGATTTTTGAGGTTTTAAAGTTATCTTTAATTTTATTGGAAACTGTTCAACCGATAAAATTTTACTCTTTTTAATAATTTGTTGAATGATTATAAACTTATATCTTTAAAAATACTTTTGTAAAAGAATGTAAATTTCTTAATTTTTGTGCTATGATCCAAAACATCATATATTAAGTAACGGAGGGAGTAAAATTCATCAATAAATAAATATAATTTGATTGTATATACTATCCAATTTTATAATAATATTTATGTAGCTTATAATATTATTAATTTAAAATTTCTAAATTTGTATTTTTGTAACAATTTTTAAAAACATTATTATGTAAAATTACTAATTTATATATTTTGTTTTAATTCTAAATTTTAAATATATAAAAAGTAAATTAACTTGGACCTACATAATACATAAACAAAATTTTGGGATATTGTTAAAAGTATATTACATAATTTTAATTTTTTGTTAAAAAATGAATTAAATTTTAATTATATTCTATGATAATTAAATTTTTAATCAAATAATTTTTGAAACTAATCTTGAAAAGATTCTATAAGATTTTTAAAAGATTTTGTTAGAATTTTCTTAAAATTATTTATTTGTATTTCAAATAAAAATTAAAGATATGAAAATATAATATAATGATGTTATGTAAATTTATATAAAATTTCTAAGGATTGTCCAAACTAAAAAAATCACACATGAAGTGAGTCATGACTTCTCTTTTAATATAATAGATATGCTAAACGTTAAGAAAAGAAGCGGGGCTGCTACCACTAGCTAGTCCAATAACTTATTGGGCCAAAAATATAAGGCCCAGGATTGATGCGAAAAGAAAAGAGAGGCTAATATCAAGACACGTCAACAGATCGGTAACGTAGAAAAAAAACAGAGCCACTGTACTTTCTTTTCTTTCCTCCTAACGGTTTTCTGAATCAGTCATGTCTCTGTCACTTTCCTCCTTCAACTCTCACCCCAGGAGACTCGTGCCTGAGCCTCCTCGTCGTAAAATTTCCGTGAAAAGATCCTCCCGTTCTATTTGCAGAGCTTCGTGGCAAGAGGTTTCATCTTCACTAAAGTGATTTGATCCTCACCTTCTTCTTTCTTTTGTTAACTTTCTTGTCGTCTTTTTTTAGCTCGCTGGTGTGTTGGTTTTCTCGGCGATCCCGTTCACGGCGGTGAAAGCAATCGCAAACAGCTCACTAGGAGAATCTCTACGGCAGAGATTAGAAGAGAGAAAGAAAGAAGCAGTGGAGAACGCTTCAAGATTCAAAGCTAAAGCTCAGAAGGCTAAAGCAGACAGGTATTTCACTTGAATTAAGACATTTTGTTTGACAATAGAGAAGTAAGTAATAATTAGTAAAGGCAATGTTTCATTGTAACATTTGCTTCCTTTTGGTTTGTTCATGCAAGTGTTGCAGCAAGTGGTATGGACAAGAACGTCCTCGTTGGTTTGGTCCCATCCCTTATGATTATCCTCCTTACCTTACAGGAGAGCTTCCTGGTGATTACGGATTCGACATTGCAGGACTTAGCAAGGATCGGTTGAACTTTGATAAGTACTTCAAGTGAGTCTTGTCCTTTTAGTTTCTATATATATTTTTTTAATATTCGGAGGTTTTCGGGCTTCTTCCCAAAGCCCGAAAACACAACATATAATATTAGTTTCGTCCCAACAGTCACTCGAATTAGGGACCTTTGACACAATGGCTAGAGTTTATGAGTTTGGAGCTATCATCATGACTCCTATAGCTAGCTAAGTGTAATTGTCTTGTTTTTGCAGCTTTGAAATACTTCATGCTCGTTGGGCCATGCTTGCAGCTTTAGGTGCTCTAGTCCCAGAAGTGTTTGATCTCACTGGAGCTTTTCATTTTGCGAGTCGGTTACTCTAAGCTTCAGGTTCTGGTTCATTACTATTAGCAATTTAGCATGTCAATGACATCTCTCAGGCTCAATCATTTCTATAACCATTTCAACTTTTTCACTAGGGAGAGACGTTGGACTACCTAGGCATCCCTGGGCTTCACGTAGCTGGAAGCCAAGGTGTCATTGTAATTGCAATTTGCCAAGCACTCTTGATGGTAGGACCAGAATACGCAAGATACTGTGGGATTGAGGCCTTAGAGCCACTAGGAATATACTTGCCAGGAGACATAAACTATCCAGGAGGAACACTTTTTGATCCCTTGAACCTCTCCCAAGACCCTGTAGCTTTTGAAGAACTTAAGGTCAAAGAGATCAAAAACGGGAGACTAGCTATGGTGGCGTGGCTTGGATTCTATGCGCAAGCGGCTTTCACAGGGAAAGGACCTGTTCAAAATCTTGTTGACCATGTATCTGATCCATTACATAACAATCTGCTTGCTACGCTTCATATATGAAAGCAAAAGACTGTACATATATATACATGTCAAAAATTTTACTCTTGTGTGTTTGTGTATTAGTACATTTTGAAATTATAAGTTTGATAATAATACTAAATTTTAATAATTCTTACTGAAACTGTTTTACGGTTGGGAGCTATTGTATTTGTAGAGTTGTGTTAGTAGTAGTTGAAGATTGTTAAATTTGTATTGTAGATTACCCTTTTTAAGCTATGTGAAAATAGTACAGCTAAAATAGTAACTTCCAAAAACTTCAAATAATTATAAGGCTCAGAGATAATAAATAGTTTCTTTGTTCTCTAAAATAAATATTTTTTTTTCTTTCTTCTGTAAAGATAAATTTGATAGATTAAAATATATTTTTATTAATTAATATTAATAACTTATATACGTAATATTTTTGGTAGATAGTTGTTAAAAATGTACAGTACAAATAAATAATAGATTCAATTGTAAATATTTATTTAATAATGAATGAATATTTTTTTTTAAATATATATTTTAGAGAAGGTAACGTTTTAAACCCACTCAACTAATAACGAAGTTAAACAAACATCTATTTACAGCCTACTTTAGGCCAGTATCACCAAATTATAATCTCTATCATTTCTTCAATTAAGACTTTTAACTAAGAGTAAGTAGTAAGTCATTGTGCTTTCGCACGATCACGATTCACGTCATAAGATAAACCGGAAATTAGGAAAAGAATCTGGCAAGGAACAAGGCAGACGTGCAAGGAGGTTATATTTATATCTAAGGAAAATGGCTTAGGTACTAAGTTGGTAGCTATCTCATAACATCATAGGACATGTTATATGGCTATTAAGAACGCCAATTTTTCGGATTAACATGTGAACTTCGTCACTTTACTATACGACAACATATTGTGACCAACTTTTTTTTTGTAACCAACTTTAGTTTAATATATCTTCTTATGATCATATCATAAAATTGATCAGTATGATTTTCTCTTTAAAACTAATAGCTCATGCACGGGGTGGTGATTAAGCAATAGCGTGACTGCTCTGGCAACTAGGCATACACACGTATATATAAACATTACTTTCAAGTGTAATTTGTAATATACTTATTATCTGTGAAGTATTTATCTGTCTATATTACCAAACAATCTTAAACCGGAAGCAAGTCCAACAGTTTTTTTCCTTAAAATCTTCTGCTAATTGTCAAACTTAAAAGTCTGCAACGAGCGTGTTTTACGAATTCTCTCAATTGTTAATCGTTCTTTCTTGTAATTAAATGGAAATTACGCGTTCAGCAAGCTGTCACTACTGAAATTTAAAGATATCTTCAAGGAAATGACAAAAAAAAAATAATGTATTTGCAAACAACTTGATATAGTTACATAAGACTTTTGTAAGTAAAATTAATCTTTCATCAGCTTAATATACTAATTATGTAAGTGTCGTTGGGATACGTTTCACATGGATTCAGCTAATTGATTATGATGCTAAAAACATGGTTATATGACACTTGCACTCGTGTTACATTCATTAATCTTTGAAATTCGAAAAAACAAAACTGTATGCAGTTAAAGGGTTACAGTTAGTAGCATTAATGGGATACAATGTCAACGACTGAACACGTGAATCATTGGTGCTTTTTGCATGGCCTGCGCAAGTGCGACCTGTTCGACTTTACTCTGTTCCATGGAATAATTAAATACACACGGTGTCTCCATTGTGCTTTAATTTATTTAATTAATGTGATTGATCAGTACGTAGTTACAAAAAAACATTACATTAAGTTATACGCATATTATAAAATGGTTTTTTCTATTAAGATGCAATCATGCAATGATGAAGTTCTTAATTCAATTCAATTTTTTTTTTTTGTGTGCACGATTCATATTTGTTCTTTGATGAAACGTTATTAAACCTAATCTAGGCACGTGAAGTTCCACACTAAATATTGTTACGACAGCGATGTGACAGCAAATGATGGTTAGGTAATACTTAGAACACTTATTTAACACCAATAGATCAGTTAAATCTATCTTAGTCTTCAATTAACTACACATCATTTATGGAGTTGACTCCGTAAACGGAAAATTGTCAATTCGTTTATGGAGTAATTTTCATACAATTTGAAAAAAATCAATTCTTAACCATACATCTATATAGTATATAACCTTTCAATAACAAAAATTCACCTTTTTCTTTGCAGAAGTTGGATTTTGACTCTCCCATATAGTCCAAGTTAGCTAAAAATTATAACGTTTTCTTATTAATAAAACAATAATTCAACTATATATTTTAAAATACGTCTTTGCAAAAACAAATTTAATGAAAAATGGATTGTTTAATAAGAAAACCTAACCAATAAATTAATTTCTTTAACCATTTGATTCTTTTATTATATTTACACTAAGTTGGTTAATTCATTTTTTTTAGATCATGAGTTAGGCTTTTTCTTCTGAAAATTTAATCTTCTTTATGATCTTGCTTTTTCGAACGGATTGACATTAATTTATCAAATGGTCGGTCGTAATTTAGACATAGTTTAAATAAGAATATTCAATCTCAAATAATCTGCATCAAACATTTCTCAGTAATTATTAGCATTGGTTAAATAAACAACTACTCACTCTCTTCCTAAAAGATAGATTTTTTAGTGTTTTCACACATATTAAGAAAACACATTAAATCACTATCGTTTTCCATAATTTTCAATTTTTAATAACTTTTAACAAATAGTAATCTAATAAAACCAATTAATTTTTTTGAAACTTGTAATTTTTTCATAGAAAACATAGAATATACATCTTTTTGAAACAAAATATTTTTTCAGAACATGGATCTTTTAGAAACGGAGGGAGTACTTTTATGAACAGTTGTTTAAAAAGAATAGGCAAGTATGCTCTTAAATATGGTCAAATAATTTTGTTTTACATACAAGTTTGCGCTTACAATTTGCAAGACTGAAAGATATACACATGTTCATCCATATCCATGAATTGAAGCTATAAGTACACATCTGTTCTATATATTCGACTCATTTAATCAAAGGTTACAAGAAAAAACTCATATTATTTTGAATAATTAGAAAACATAATTTTATAATTAAACTTATAAACTAAAATATCTTTTATAAATGTAAAATATATATAAAATAAACCGATAATTTGTTATTATCTAGGCCTCGGCTAAAATTATAATCCGTCTAGTCACTAGTCCTCTACTTATCGCATTTTCTTGAACATTGCTTGTAATGTTATCAGATAGGAGCAGTTTACATATGGACTTACGTNGCTCTTAAATATGGTCAAATAATTTTGTTTTACATACAAGTTTGCGCTTACAATTTGCAAGACTGAAAGATATACACATGTTCATCCATATCCATGAATTGAAGCTATAAGTACACATCTGTTCTATATATTCGACTCATTTAATCAAAGGTTACAAGAAAAAACTCATATTATTTTGAATAATTAGAAAACATAATTTCACCAAATATCATCCCGTTTGTCAGTGGGAAAACACACCGGTGCACAAATATAGCTAGTAGCATATGATTATACCACATAGGACGAGAATGAATCTAAAATTTAGTGGATCATAAACACTCTTAAGTTAAAATTTAATTAAAACTTAGTTGATAACTTGAGTACACAATTTATGATTCTTTATAATTTGAAAATTAATGTGAATATTTTACCCGATCGTGTTCAAATTCGGTCATATTTTTTTCTTTATCTATCTATCAATATTGCATGGTATGAAAGTCAAAGACAGCAAGTTGGTGTGGACCTTTGGTCAGTCGACAAAAAAAATAAGATGTGGACCTATTGTCACACATTATAAAAGGAAAAATGTTGCTGCGGTTTCGTTATTCCCTCACGCTTATTAATTTATTTATCGCTTTGGTCTCCTTATCGCTTACATTTTCAGTCACGTGTTACGGCTGAGAGACAGGTCATTGCTGACTTCTTTCCCTTCAATCTATCCGAACCAACATGGAATAATCTCAAACGCGAAGTAATAGCGTTATTAAACAACTCACCGTACATTGAATTCAAATTTCTTTGTCAAGATGTATTTTACAGGATAGATAGATAAGAAAAACCATCTATATAAACGCACATCTACGTATAGACATATCAACTATGCGATATACGTTCATCTAAATTAACCATGGCGTACTAATACGTTTTGAGTTTTGACAAAAGAAGCTAAAGAATATCCGGGTGTGTAAATTTTTTTTGTCAACAATAGTTAACATCAAAGAAAATACTTCAACAAATTAAAAGTCCACTAACAGCATAGTTGATAAATCACAACGAGATAAAAATTAAACTCACAATCAAAATATCTAAAACTTAAACTGGAAAGCAAAAGAAATTAAAACTATATCACCAACCAGTCGTTACTAATAGGAATAACCCTAATATTTCAAAACCTATACATTTTGTAAGAAATATGATAATTATTTCTCTTATAAATTTAAAGATTATATATTTATTTACTTAATTTACTATTCCCTCCGTTTCATTTTATTTGTCATCATATGTTTTTATACATAGATTAAAGAAACATTTAATTTTATATATTTTTAAGATAAAAACACAATTACTTATACACCTAACCACATTTCAATCAATAGAAAAATAAATATCATATAAAACTAATAAATTTTGCCTCGAACTATAAAACGACACTTATTTTGAAACAATTTTTTTTTGCTATAATGACAATTAATTAGAAACGGAGAGAGTAATATTTAGTTTTTTTTTACTTTCATGACATTTTTTGATGGTCAATTCAGATTAACTATATATGTAATGAGGAATTAGTATAACATGTTGAAAAGTGTGCTAAACACTTAAAATAGAAAAGAAAAACTAACCATTTACATTTTTCTCCTACTCTTAAAATGTCAAAACAATATAGTTGCTGAATTATTTAGATTAGTCAAATATTTAATACAACAGAAGATGCATGCATATTTTTTTGCACGTAATTATTATTCTAACGAATAGTGACAGTATCCTCATCCAGGTTCATATAATAAAATACGCATAATTTAATCACCTTGTAAAACAAGAGTCAACTGACACAGCTAAGCAAACGCGTCAGCAAACCGGTTTAAGAAAAGAAAGACAAACCGCGATTGATTTCCTTTTTTTACATCAGCCGGTTAAGTAATGCTTACGTCACCACCTCCTCCCTATTTATACCCCTCTGTAACCGACTCTGTTACTCACGCGTTAACAACTACACATCCCTCTCTCTCTCTATAACTCTCTCTCTCTCTAAAGCGATCAAAATTCGAATGGGACTTTGCGTATCCGTCACACGTAACGACTGCGATTCATCGCCGACGGCTAAAATCGTGACGGTTAACGGCGATCTCCGTGAATACAATGTCCCCGCGTTAGCCTCACAGGTTCTCGAAGCCGAATCTCTCGCTTCTTCTTCGTCGTCGAGGACTTCATCTTACTTCCTATGTAACTCGGACTCTCTCTACTACGACGACTTCATCCCGGCGATCGGACCGGAGGAGATTCTCCAGGCGGATCAGATCTACTTCGTCCTCCCGGTCTCGAAACGGCGGTACCGCCTCACGGCGTCGGACATGGCTGCACTCGCGGTGAAAGCGAGCGTGGCGATGGAGAAGGCCGCGGGGAAGAACAGTCGCCGTGGCCGGCGGAAGAGTGTGAGGATAGCTCCGGTGATGGTTTTGAATCAGAGTAACGAACGGATCGTTGCTGTTAACGGAAATGGGAAGGTGTTTGGTAAAACGACGCCGTTTAAGATGGATAGTAATAATAATAATAATAATAATAATACGAGTGGTGGTTATTCCCGGTCTGGTTCGGTTAGGAGATTGAGGAGATATGCGTCTGTGAGGGCTAAGAAGCTTGCGGCTCGGTCGATTAAAAGATTATCGACGATTTACGAAGGAACCGTGGTTTAGATTTGTTAAATAAATAAAAAATACATTTTAATGTTTTTTTTTAACGTTTCAATGAAAACGTTATCTGTATATTATTAACGTTTGCACTTTGCTTTTGTGATATAATCCAAAAATGAATCACTCTGTTGCGACTTTTTTTTTTTTGCTAAATTACACTCTGTTGCGACTTTCAGGAAGATGCATGCATTCTGCAAATATATGATTAATTGAAGTTTGTTCCGTAAGTTCACAATGATATGAAATCGTTTAAATCATTGTTGTAATGTAATAAATGATCACTAATCTAAAGTCACTAGTTTTCCTAACATATTTAAGTTAAATGTTGCAATCCTTGATGCACATATATAATCTGTTTATAGTGAACTTGAATAGTTCATACTTGACTCAAGTAAGATTTCAAAGTCTACAAGATATCATTATATTTTGCCAAACCATAGATCAAACTAATCCCTAGCTCACCAGTCTCATCGATTTGATGTTTGATTTTAGTTTCAAAATATTGTAGGGGAAACAAATTGTATGGACGGTGGTGGCCTGGTGGATGAGAGCATCTTTAATGCTTTTTTGTTCCTAGATGATGCCTGTGCTTTTCACACCTTAAAAACATTTTTTAAAAAAAATTGATTATAAATGCATCATTTTCTTTGTTTAGCTATTTCCCATAATTTTAAGCGAATAGAATTTGAATAAATACATTTTCTGAAATTTTCAGCTTAACACTATTAATGACTGACAATTGTATAAAAATGCAAAACATATATTTATCATTTTGAGTAACTTTAGATCAGTATAGTTGAGTTTTAGTTTAATCCTACTTTAATTTGAAGTAAAAATATATCTATGAATGTACTAATGAATATGATTTTTGAGTATTTAGAAGGAAAAAAAACTATAGATGATTTATTTCAAATTAGAGTTTGAATATAAACTAAACGAGAACTAGAAATGCTCTAAGTATAAACTCCATTTTAGGAAACATGATAATAGAATCATAAAACTTATAATTAAATAATAGTATGAGTCCATGATCTTATAATTCTTGAAAATTCCTACATATAGAAATGTTGTAGGGAAGGATAAAAAGGAAAACAAAACTTGGAGAGGAAGTTAGGAATTCGAATGTTAGTTATCTACTGTTGTGGTGGGACTAGAAATATATAAAAATGGAAACTTTGGCTTCGCCGCCTGTGGAATCTATCTCGGAATGTAATACTGAAATCAAATCAAGGTTTTGACTTTTGATTTTTCGAGTCAAGTCTTTAGAATTTTTATGTATCACGGTCGTGTATTAAACAATTAACAAAACACGGTTTCTCTAACTATTTAGTAATTACTCAAGGATGAACCGATTATATATTTGATTTCTCAGTTGGGTATATATATATATATATGTGCATTTACACACACTGAAACACATCTATATATAACCTAGACTCGTTTTCATAACCACTATAAGGTTTTGTAGTACAGTATTATCTAAGAAGTCTACAACGACCAACCATAGTCAGAATGGCAATATGAAAGTTAAATTATCCATAATGAGTTATTCATTTAGTGATTTTTTTAATTACTATGAGTTAGTTAAAACAATATTCAGTTTTCCTATATATAAATATTTGTTCACCCAGAGGCGAGAGCCAATCAACCTGCAATTAAAACTCATATTTTTTCTCATGTGTGGTTCATTGATCTCAGTCTCATGACAGTGTCAAAATAAGCCTACTAAAGTCACCTGGTGTATATATATATATATATATATATATATATATATCAAACAAACAAGTTTATTTAAAAACTGGACATTCGTGTGAACCCTAAGATTCGAACTATCCTTGTTATATTGAATAAAGAAAATATATAGCGGGACGTTCCGGCTAGCCGCCGATATGACGTGTAAGTCCCCGACAGTGACAGACTCTATCTGGCGACGGCAACATTTAGCCTTCATATTTTTCTACGTTGATAAGTAAGTATGAATACGTGATATAAATGGTCACCGTGTTGCCATTTGTGTTATATGGTGCGGATCATTTTGTTATTGGTAGTGTACCAAAAATATTTGGCCTTATTATGGAAAGCAATTATAATTATTAATGGAATTATTATCAGTTAAATTCGCTTTTCAGTTTTTTTTTGGTTATTTCATTTGACATTGTTGTCTTTTGTTGACATGACTTTTTTATTTGTCCAACTCTTTCGTTGATATGACAAATACTGTTTTTACATATTCAAATGTCAACACGAGATACATATATTTGACTATTTCAATTCGATTCTTGGTATATGATTATTTTGTTATTGAAAAATACTTTCCTGGTCATTTCAATTTGAATGTGTTGAATACATCACGTGTGTGATTGGCATTAACTAGAGTAAAAGGGTGGAAATAAAAAGGTGTAAATGGGTGGAAAAATAAAAATAAATCCGGAGTAAACTTTTACTCTCACTTAACCTAGAGAAACGTATTACTCTACTTTTACACTACCTTTTTCTTTTCATAGCGTAAGTGGGCTGAATAATTTTTCATCATGATTGGACAAAATTATCGTAACTGAGCTGAATAATTTTTTACTCCAATTTATTCACGCTCATTGTACCATCCAGTCACACTCTACATATAATCAATAAGGTTTGTTTCAAAACAATATAAATAATTTTTGTTTTGTGAAAAAACAATAAGTATGCTCAAATGGTTTACATGATGGATTGTATATGATCGGTTCACTCTGTGACATTAGTCGGAAGGTATTCCAAACTCGAATCAGGTGGTGGTGTGATAATGAGTCCACTCTATAGCACTAAGTGCGTTCCTCCCAGAACCGACCGGATCAGCCGATAGGGTTTATCAAAAAAAGAAAAAAAAACAGTAAGCATGACGGCTAGGCTCATATACCTTACTTAGTACGTACCGTGGAGGCGTGGAGAGATCTCGATCTTGTTGGTCTTTCAGTTTATTCTTTCTTTAATTCTTATACGTGAAATCATAAATCTTCTACAACCCACGCTAAAACACGCATACACGGCTTAAACCCGGATGATTTATCACATGGTAATTAGTAATGAAAACTACATATCGAGTTTACATGTCCAAATCAAAAATATAAACACATTGAGAGATAGAGTTGAAATAGAAAAGGTTTGAGGCTTTTCAATCAGTGTCTCGGTAATCAAACGTTTTCAATAAGTTAACTACTTACACTTAATTTGTCAATCAACCGCTGATTGAATGATATCATTTTAGTTTTCGTCAGCTTAATAGTAAATTAGTATTCATCAGTACATTCAAAGTAATAATTGTCATAGTTTGGTGGAAAAGTATAATTTATTTATCCCATACTATTAGTGTGCTATTTTTTATGCACGCACTTGTTATTATTTTAATAATGAAAAGCTAAAAGGTAAACACACAACAGACTTGTTTATTGCTTGCAAAGCCATACATATATTTACCGCAACCAAACAAAGCCACAACAACAATGCATGTGGGCTGATTCTTCAACGCATCATCATATGAGCAAACTCATCAAAACTCAAAACACCATCATCATTAAGATCAAAAGCTTTGATCATAACACTACAATCATCACTCGTTCTTGACTCACCAAGCTTCATCAACATAGTCTTCAAGCTTCTAGGAGTAATACAATCTTCACCTTCATCAATATACATTCTAAACGCTTCCATCATCTTCCTCTTCTTCTCTTCCTCTGTAACCTCATCACTCCCTTTGATTAACTGAGCAAACTCCTCAAAGTCCAACATCCCATCTCCATCTATATCAGATAGTTTAACAGCAGCTTCAGCTTCTTCATCAGAAAGTTGATCTCCTAATGTGTTGAAACTTCTTTTAAGCTCTTCAGCAGAGATTCTACCGTCTCTGTTTGCGTCCATGTAAGCAAAGACAGCTTCTAAGTCTCTTATATTGTCATCACCGTTTCTGAATGAGGAGAGTCTCTCGCAGAGTTTAGTGAAAGATGAGGATAACTGACGTTGAGTAGTCTTCATTAGGACAAGAAACAGAAGTTTATGCTACAAGTTTTGTTCTTGTTTTTGATGTAAGAATTGAATGAGGAAATGGTCGGAATGGTTTCTCTTTATATATAGGTTGTTTCTAATTCCAATAATAGAATGCAACTTAATATAAAAAGAAAATGAAATGTAACAAACGTGTGAGATTCAGAAAACAAATATAATTAGACTTCAGATCTGAAAATGTATTATTAGTCTTTAGATCTGAAGTAAAAAAAAGATATATTACTTACAGGTTTCATCCTCTTATGTTTAAAACACGTTTTTTAATTTAGGAATTAGGATTAAGAAATGGTATACAGATTTGTTGACTGCCACTTGTCTTTTTATCAGTGAAGACACATGTGGTCTTTCTCACTAATCTATCACTGAGACCTATGAACAAGCTGCATGCATGTTTTAACGTGGCAGGCTGTCTCATTTCTCAACATACTTTTGGTGTTTGATAGCTCTCTCCTCAATGCTCAGGAGAGTTTAGCGACAAACACTAATTATATAACACATCATTCTACTAAAAACCAGTTGTAATATATTGATATACACTTAAAAACTAGAGACTTATCTCAAAGAGTTTAGCATAACAAAAGATCATATTAAATACATTGCAACTTAAAAGGCCTTAAGAACAGAGCTAGCTGGCTATCTCCTGTGTCTGTTCTCTCTGCTTTCTCTTAAGCTTCTTCCTCTTATGTACTCTATCTCTGCATCAGAGCTTGAAACACCAGAGAGATAGCTTCTATTCCCTTTCTTAACAGACCCCACTCTTGACAACAAAACCTCTTCATCAGCATGGATGCCTTTCCTTGGTTTATGGCCCTTTGGTGAATCAAGATCAGCTTCTCTTCTGAGGAGCAAAGAGTCATCCATCACATCATTGAACTCAACATACTGACTAGTTGTGATGACATCATCAGCACTAAAACCAAAAGAAGCTCTATAAGCTTCTTCCAACTCCTCCATGTCTCGCTTGGGACTTCTTGTCTGCCTATTCTGGCTAGTAGGGTACACATCTGAGTCCTTGGAAACACTCAATCTCCCACCGTTCAGAGGCACAGAAGGGTCATGATCTAAGTAAAACTTAGCAAAAGTTTCAGGACAGAAGAAGTTTGACTCCTGCAATGGCGTTGAGACTCCTGAAGCTCTGGAGATTGGTGATCTAAGAGAGCTAGCTGGACTAACAGGATAAATAGCATACGTGGAAGCCAAGAAACGAGCATAAGGGACATCAGGTGAGGAAGGAGTAGTTAAATGAGCAAGTTCTTGAGGAGGAGTGAAAGGAGCAGTGGATGGCTCAGTGGTGAAGGTGGAGAAAACAGGAGGAGGTGAGACTAGTTGAGGCTCATTAGCATAAGGTCCTGTTGCGTAGATACTTGAGGAAGGGTCTCCTGGTGAGTTTGCGGAGAGAGATAAGTAGTTGTTTGGTGAGTTAGTGGTTGAAGGAAGAGGGGAGTTTGTGAAGGAAGCGGGTGAGGATGGTGGTGCCATGAAAGCTAAGTTCATTGCTCTTGTAGCTTGGTTTGTTAAGACAGATCCGTTAGGTTGTGAAGGTGAGAGATTATTGGTGGGGACTTCTTGAATGCGAGAAGCGGGTACTATTCGTTTTTGGGCTTTTTGGGATTTGAAACATGAGAAGACTCCTAAACAACCTCCCCACCTTTTCCTCTGCAAAAGAACACACACACACACTTTCAAGGCCAATGGTAATCTTATAAGCTTACAAGCATGAGTTTAAGATCATAAAGTATGGATTTTTATGTAATTGAATGGTTAATTTCCTAAGGAAAGATGTAAACTTTGTTCAATTCTCAGTTAGCACTTACTGTAAAAATGAAAGAATTGATTCAAAGGTGGAGACTTTATATAAACCCTAATAAAACAGAGCTAAAACAAACTCTATTAGTGTGAAACAGAGTGAATATCATAAAGTTTGGATTTTTTATGTAATTGAATGGTTCATTTCTAAGTAAAGATGTAAACTTTGTTCAATTCTCAGTTAGTAATTACAGTAAAAATGAAAGAACGATTCAAAGGTGGAGACTTTATATAAACCCTAATAAAAACAGAGCTAAAAAAACTCTATTAGTGTGAAACAGAGTCGAATATCATAAAGTTTGGATTTTTTATGTAATTGAATGGTTCATTTCTAAGGAAAGATGTCAACTTCATCAATTCTCAATTAGTAGTTACTGTAAAAGAAAAAATAAAACTTTAGCATTAACCCTAATGAACATTTGCTTTCATTCAAGTGAAAACAGAGCTAAAGAAAACTAAGATTAGTGTGAAGAGAGTAAAATAGTCAGATCTAATAAAGCAAGAAACTGAGAGTGAAGAGAACTAAAACTCTCACACATAAACTCTAATGTAAGGAAATAGAGAAAAAGAGTTTAAGAGAAACCTGTTGTTGTTGTTCATGCTGAGGAAATCTATGCTGCTCTGAGCCCATCTGAAAGAAGTGATTTTTATCTATCTGAGTAGAGGGTTTTCAGGACAAAGACGTAAGCATCTGAGTGGGTTTTACTCTGTTTTTAACTGGTTCGATCCAGAAACTACACAGAGAAGCTAAATAAAGCTTTGGGGAAAGACAAAGTTTATAACTTTTTTCTTACTGGAGTGGGGAGAGAGATGAGAGATTTTAGAAGAAAATAGTGAAAATGGAAATTTGCAGTGGTGATGCAATCGGCATGAAAAGATGATTCTTTACTAAAGGAAAAGCATTTCTTATTTTAATAATCAGAATGTGACTGAGTGACCCATAGATAAAGAGCAAAGATGTGAAAGCAAACAAAAAGAAGGGAAAAGAGAAAAGAGGCAAATGAAAAAGAGGAAAAACCTCTGTTTTTTTTTTGGGGATTTTCACACTCACTAACCTGTTTCTTTAGGATTTGAAGAAAATAGCAAAAAAAGATGATTTTTATGAGTTTTTTGAGAGTTGGTCTCTACTCATTTTTGGGAAGAAACTAAGATTTTTTTTGAAGGTTTGTTAAAGTACTTAAGTGGGTTATTATCACATTTGGTTAAATTGGACATCTTCTAAATTATTACAGAACTTGAGCACGTGAACGACGTTGAACATTTAAAAGTCAAACACATTTATTTCTTTTCTTTTTTTGGTTTGGTCTAAGAACACGTCCAAAATCAATGTAACCGCTAAGTCAAACGGCTGTTGAAGTTAATAAATGTAGCAATTACCAAGAAAACAAGCTTGTTGTGATTATCTTGGCTTTGATGGTTGAAAAAAAAAAGTTTAGATTTAGAAAGTTTTTGGGGAAAGTGGTAGGTATTTAATATTTGGAGGAGTAAATAAATTAGCAAAATTAGCGACAAAAAATATTTATATTAATTTTTCCAATAATGACATAACTTATATTTGAAGCAGAGCATAATCATTTGTATATTGGCGATTTGAAGGGATTAAATAAGGTGATTCTTTTCTCAGAATTTTGGTTTTGATTTTTATGAATTTGTCTTTAGGTTTTGAGGCTTCCAATAAAGCAGAGGAAAAAAGGGCCCAGTTGTAGCGTTTGTATCTTTTTGTGGGTCTGGATTCATATTTAGTGGGACCTAATCCATCTAAACTAAACCCACTAATGTTTTCAACACTAAAACTCCAGTAAAATGCTCTCTTTCTAAAACTGACCATCAACTAAACTAACACACACAAATTACTGACAAATTACAATTCTAGTGAATAAACACCTTTTATTTTATTTTAATCATTACTCATAGCTTTAAACACACATCACATGCTACTTTCTTGTATTTTAAACACACATCACATGTCCCTGAGTAGCTACGGTCGTTTCTCCGAAAATGAAACATCTGGTTAGAGTTTTGATGCCATTAAACTATGGGCCATGGCATATAAAACAAAGGAAAAGAAAGATTTGTTATCACATGCTTGCTTTCAGTTCACATTCAAGATGAGCCTTGTTCTTAAAGCAAATAAATAATTATAGGCTTATTACAAAAGACCCAACGCGCTCTGATACTTCTTATAAGTGGAAATGAATTAAAGTATGGCACACAAATGAATAAAGTGATGAATACTACAAAAAATTACACGTTTTCAGTCTTAAAAAATTTCAGTTTGATAAAAGCACAAACAGTTTATACTTTAGTCTCACCGAGCTCAACGTCTTTCAAATCGATATGCTCTACTCCTTCCTTTAGTAGCCTAATCTAAAAATACACGTATGACCGGCCTAAACAATGTCTTTGTCACATCAGTCTAAGCGCTTACGAAATTAAGAATCAGTCTATTGTTGTCTAATTACCTTATAGGCGGATAAATCGGATCTAATTATTCTATAAAATGCCTAATGACCGATATCTTGAACCATTGCAACAAATACATAACAAGCCAAGCAAATGCAAGAAGAATCAACTTCAAGATCAACAGTGAAGAGAATCCAGCGACAGAGAATCAATACAACAAACGTTGCATTGTTCTAAAAATCGGTTTAAACGGCGCCTAGACCGCAAATAAACGTAATGATTTTTTCTAAAACGAATATAGCCTTTCAAAGTCGGTTAAAGCTGCGTCTAGGCGGCAAAAACATTTTTCTAGAAGGATTCTAGTAGTTCAAAATCGGTCTAAACACCCGCCTATTTAATCATCAGCCTATTGCTGCCTTAATTACCATATAGGCGGCAAATCGGATCTAATCTTCTATCTAAAATGCCTAGCGATATCTTGAACAATTGGCACTGGCGCACTGTCACACTCTCACTGAAAGCCAAAGATTTCGAAACTGAATTATTGAGTTCTCTTGGCCCAGCTTGCTCTTATTTGCTTGCAGTCTTATTCAAATAAAAAAATACTAATCACATTTGTAATATATTCAATAAATAGTAATGAGAACACTTGTTCTCCAACATTAACACATCATTACAAAGAAAAGTATTTTTCATATGGGCTTTCAACATAAATAATTTTCTTCTGATAAGGCCCAAATTTACATTAAATCCTTCAAGGGCCCAAATCATCCACACATGTACAAAACGTGTCTTTCTGAGTAAGCAAGAAACAGCTAGACAGGTAGATACCTCCGGTCTCACCTGAACCAATCATAGCCTGGCGGCTAAGGCCTATAGTTTGAGTTGTTCATGTTTGTCCATGTGAACTATCACATTACACTAGCTAATGATAAAAGTAAACCAACTCTCAGTCTGAATCATCAACTTATTCAGGAGTGTGGAAGTTTGTATCTTTACCTCATACACACAAAACATAGAGATAACAACATAATAATCTAAGGATCTCGCAGAAAAAAACTTGACTCTATTTAAATCTAAACCATTGAACAAACACTGTTGTGTGTCTTTATTTTTTTAACACATATTCATTTCAATCTTAATGCTCATTCTGTATGATGCTGCTAGCTTTACTTCCCTCTTTCCTCGAACGCTCAACCATTTGTTAGTCGGTGGTCAAAGTTGGCTAAAGTCAATCCATTTTTCCCTTTCTTTTTTAATTATTGAAAATTATATGATACCCCACTAAAGTTTTGTTCTGTAATAAAGATCTAAAGTCGAATCTAAACTGTAGATGAAGCAAAAAAGAAACGATTTTCTAGTGGCCAACTTCAAAGTGGTTGTTATTCTCTAATGTCGTCAATGCGTACGTCATGAAAAAATACAAGTGGATGGGGTCCATCGATGCATGCGTCCTCAATGACGTCCACGTCCAGAAAAAAAAAAACTCACTTTCCTAAATATAGCTTAATCACATGTGTATATATATATATGTTGCAGATATAACCATCTTCTTACCACCTAACAAAAACTTGAAAGTGTTTTGATAAAAAAAGAAAAAGAATCAAAGAGACTCATGGAAATGGAAAATGCAGTAGCGAAACAGAGCATCCCTCTCCTCACTCCCTACAAAATGGGAAAATTCAATCTTTCCCACAGGGTTGTTCTTGCACCATTGACTAGACAAAGATCATACGGAAACGTTCCTCAGCCTCACGCTGTCTTGTACTACTCTCAGAGAGCCAGCCCTGGAGGGTTTCTCATTGCTGAAGCTACAGGAGTTTCAGACACAGCTCAAGGGTAACTAACTAGCTAACTAACTAACTAACTAACCACTCTGCTCATTTTTTATATTAAAGTCTAAACTTTCTTTTTATGGGCAGACCGGTTCTGATAACTTTTTAGGAAAATTTTGTATATATATACATAAGTCCCCAAAAATTTTTAAAATAAAATTTTTATTAATTTTTACTAATTGTCTATAGCCTCACCAGTCCTGTTTATCATAAACTATGATCTAAAGAACTAAACTGTTATATTTATGTGATTTGCTCACCTGAAGCTATCAAGATACTCCTGGGATATGGACCAAAGAGCATGTGGAGGCATGGAAACCAATTGTGGAAGCTGTTCATGCCAAAGGTGGTGTCTTCTTCTGTCAAATCTGGCATGTTGGTCGTGTTTCTAATCGAGGTTTGCTATTTAAACTTGTAATCATTAGGCTGGTGAAAGGACCATTCAACCATCTTATGATACTGAGTATAATATTGTGTGTGTTGTTTTAAGGTTTTCAACCAAATGGGCAAGCTCCCATCTCTTGTTCAGACAAGCCATTGATGCCTCAAGTCCGTGCTAATGGTATCGATGAAGCCATGTTTACTCCTCCAAGACGGTTAAGTACTGAAGAAATCCCCAGCATTGTCAACGACTTTAGACTCGCAGCAAGAAACGCTATGGAAGCTGGTAAGCAGGAGAGAATAAGCTATTTCAAGATTCTTATATACAATGTTCAAAACATGCTTTATAGATGACTATCCACTAGACAGATTATTCAAACTTTAGGCAAACATATATATAACTAATTATTGATTTATTATATATATATATTACATTTATATTAGATATTTTAGTATTTTTGGGTTGTAAATAAACTAGATATACAAAAAAATAAAAATTAGACAAATTTGTGGATTTGTAGTAACATTATAGTTTAATTTTTATACTAATTTAGATTGATTTATAACGGTTTAAACCGATTTGAATAACATAAATATGATATTTAGAACATTGCTTATATAGGTATTGGTGAATGTTGTTGTTGCAGGCTTCGATGGAGTAGAGATTCATGGAGCTAATGGCTATCTGATAGACCAGTTCATGAAAGACACGGTGAATGACAGAACAGACCAATACGGTGGATCATTACAAAACCGTTGCAAGTTCGCTTTAGACATAGTTGAAGCAGTGGCTAACGAGATAGGACCAGACCGTGTTGGAATCAGACTCTCTCCCTTTGCAGACTACATGGAGTCTGCAGACACAAACCCACAAGCATTAGCCCTTCACATGGCTGAATCTTTAAACAAATACGGTATCCTCTACTGTCATGTGATTGAAGCAAGAATGAAAACAGTGGGAGAAGTTGGAGAGTGTCCTCCTCACATGCTAGTGCCTATGAGGAAAGCTTTTAAGGGGACTTTCATCTCAGCGGGAGGGTTCAAGAAGGAAGATGGGAATGAGGCAGTGGCGGAGGGACGGACCGATCTTGTGGCTTATGGTCGGTGGTTTCTTGCAAATCCTGATTTGCCTAAGAGGTTTGAAGTGGGTGCAGAGCTGAATAAATATGATAGGTCAACGTTTTATACTTCTGATCCTGTTGTGGGTTACACTGATTACCCTTTTCTTGAATCAACAGCTTAAACTTTGTCATTAAGAATGTTAATGTGTGTTGTTCCCCTTTCATGTAATAAGATATTGTTGCAAGTGTAACATCAATCATCATATTTAAAAATCGATTTTTAAAATCCTTATTTAAGAATCGGTTATTAAAGTGTTTTGTTAGTTAAAAGTTAAAACATAGTTTTTTAACTTCCGATAAAAAATCATCCTAAGAATCTCCGGTTAATCATGCTCTTAATATGTGTTCCCCTTTCATGCTCTTAACCTAAGAATCTCCGGTTAATCATGCTCCTGTAATAAGTGTAACATCAACCATCATATTTTGGGCTTTTTTTCTTTGGTTATAACTTTGTAAGGCCTATTTATCCAAACGGGTCTCAGGGTTTTGTAATATTTACAATTTTCATGTTTAAAAAAAAATAAAAAATAAACCCGTCACTTCAAATTTTCCTATTGGTTAAATGATGTATTACAGTTACCTATGCACTTTTTAAATGAAGTGTTGTTTGTCATTAAATTACAACATCTTCTTCTATACGCTTCTCTACGAGTCTTTTCGTAACACTGTAACTTCACTGGTTATACTCGAGGTTAAACATTGAAATCTCTAAAATCTCTCTTTCTAATCGAATTTGTGTAAAAAAATTTCATTTCATAGGGAGATGGAGTTTCATGGGATGAAGAGGAGTGATTTACAAGCACTATGCAAAAAGCATGGAGTCCCCGCAAATCTGAAAAGCATCGAGATGGCTTATAAACTCACTTCTCTTCTTAGTGTGAATGAGTTGTTCAGAAGTGGAAACAACAAAGATATTACTGAAGATGAACAGTCAAAGGTTTTTTAGCTTTTGTTCTATTTGGTTTTTTATATGGGTTTTGGTCGGAAGTAACTTATGAGTTTTGTAATAATATGCAGAATATGTATGAGACTGTCAAGAAAGCTCGAGTTGAGTCTCTTCTTGTTCAAAATGAGTTAGCTGCGTATGTCTATCTCTCTCCCATTTATTAAACTAAGTAGTTTATATATATATATATATATATATATTTTTTTTTTTTTGTAGTAATCTGTGTTAATGAGTTTTTGTCACTCAGCGAAGAATTTGATGGTTATTGCGAAGGGGAGCTTGTCAAGGTGAGTAGTGCTCCTGTCCCATTAGATCAGTTCAAACAAATGAGACTTGATTTGTCTTGTTTGCTAGGTTACATTATCAGGTAACCAGGAACCAATCCGTACTGAGATAACTGAGGCAGCAATGGAGTTAGGATCTGAGGTTACTTGACCTTTATTATCGAACAATCAAAGCTTCATAACAGAATGGTTTCTCATGTTTGTGTGTTTATTTATTATCATTTGGCAGAAACTTTCACTGATGGTCACGGAAGCGTACAAGGATGCATACGCAAAGAGTGTTATGGTAAAAGCAATCTCAATACCATTTTTTTGTTTTTTTTTATGACACTTCATCTCTTCTAATTTGAGATTTCTTGAATTTCATTGGTTAAGGAGGAGGAGGAGAATGTAGTTGATGGGAGAAAAGTTAAGAAAGTAAGGTTTAGTCCTGAGTCTGAGAATCAAGTCTTTGAGTTTACACGCTCTGTTAAGAAACTTCCTAGGCGTAGTAGCCAAGGTGGTGGAAGTATAGTAGAGCTAAGGCGGTCCAAGCGAATTCTTACAGTAGCTGGATGTAATGGAACTGTGTCAAACTCAGTAAATGGGATTGTTGAGGCTGAGAAAGGATCTTGTAGTTTGGTTGAAGAGCATAACCTCCCAAGGCGGTCAAAACGACTTGTGGACAAAAGAATATGAAAGAAGATGATAAAGATATAATTTACTTCTCAGCTAACTTTTGTCTTTGGTATCAGAACATCATGGCTTCTCAATTGTTACGTATCTCTTGTAACAATTCTCATTTGGTAATATATATTTTCTTTTTGGATTTTAAACAAAGAAGATGAATATGAAACAAGAAAAAAACTATGGTGGAGGATGTTTCTAATCTTGAAATGGTTCTTATGCGGTCTAGGTGCAAATCAATAACTCAAAGATCAGAGGGTATAAGATTATCATTAGACTTAGAGATACATGTTAGCATTACTTAGATGTTTCTAATAAATGTTATGTTATAACATGCATACATGTTATGTTTACACATGCATATACTTAAAACGATAGTAAATGTTAATCCCATTTGTAACGCAGATTAAATTACAATAACATACCCACTACGCCACTAAGCATTGATTATCTCACTTAGAGGTGTCTAATGAGTTTCTCTATTAATTACTTTAGCCTTTTCACTCTACATTTACATGTAACAGTCAAGGCCACAAGTGTCTCTATATAAACTCACTAACCTCATCACTCACTTCTCATCACAAACACAAAACAAATCTCAACAAAACTCACTTCCTAATCTCTCTAATGGCTACTAAACCTAGTTCCTTGGTTGCATACGCTGTGATGCTCATGATCATGGTGGCTTCTTCCACAGTGACATCTCGTCCTCTCATGAAACCAACCGTGTCTGCACCTTCTCCTTCCACAAGCCTTGTCTACCGTCTCAGACTCGATGAAGAAACAGGTTACTGCTGGGACTCACTGATGCAGCTCCAACACTGCTCTGGAGAGCTGATCTTGTTCTTCCTCAACGGTGAGACTTACCTAGGCCCTGGATGTTGCAGTGCTATAAGAACCGTGGGACGCAAGTGTTGGACTACTTTGATTGGTGTTCTTGGTTTCACTCCTCAAGAAGGTGACGTTCTCCAAGGCTACTGTGATGATGACCAAGACTCTGCAAAGAATGCTCTTGCCTCCTCACCACTGCCTATGACTCTCAAGTTCAAGCCTAGTCATGTTGTTAGATCTTCTAACCCTTGATTCCAGAGCTTATGATTTGTTGAGAAAGTTTTATATAATGTTGAGAGAGATTTTAGCTTCTCTGTTATTACTCAAGAATAAAAAGATTTGTTACTCAGAATAATATTTTTTTTGCAAATATAGCAAATATAATTTTCTCTTCTCAAATCAAGACATACACAGTTATCATTGTTAAGTAAATGAATAGTCACTGCAATAACATGACTACCTCTAAAAAACTTAGACCTTAAAAACAAAAATAAAAGTTTAATATAAAGATAGCTGTTACTTCCCGCACACGCAACCGTTATAGTTAGAAAGTAGACAAACACATGACTCTCTTTTTCTAAGTTTCCTGAAGAGGAAGCAACGAATATATATTCTTAAAGAAACTTATGTAATAGCTCAACTTAAAAAAAAAAAAAGAAAACTGTGGATTAGAGAGAGACTTCAACCAAAACTAAAAACATATGCTACTAAAGAAACAAGAAGATGGAGCTTGAACTAGGTCTGAAGATCATTCGAACAAAAGAAGATGTCTCTTCCTCTACAGATTACAAGGTTGCCAGAGATGCTTTATGTCAGGTCTCTCCTTCTAAAGAGACTGATTCTGCGTTCATCCTCACTCTTCATCTCAAAGGTTTTCATCAATTCTCTCATAAATCATTTTAATGCATTTTTTTTTTGGAGATTGAGATTGAAACGCAATGCAGGGTTTAAGAAGAAGGGTGTTGATGTTGAGATAAATGAAGAAGGAGATCGGATTACTATAAATGGAAGGAAAGAAGTAGAAGAAATGGTATTGGTAAAGTGGGTGGAATGGAAGAAGGAAACTGAGATTCAAGAATTCAAGAAAGTGTTTAAAATTCCAAATATTGTGAATCTTGACAAGATCAAAGCTAGGTTTAGTGATGAAGATGAGACTTTAACAGTTACATTTCCCAAGAAATTTAAGGGGATGACTGGTTTGAAGATTGAGGAGGAGGAAGAGGAGGAGGAAGAGGAGGAAACAGAGTTAGAAGATGAGAAAGCAGAGGAAATAACAGAGCCAGAAGAAGAGAAAACAGAGGAGATAGCTGAACCAGAAGAAGAGATCAAAGAGGAGACAATACCTGAGGAAGAAGCAGAAGAAGAGCCAAAGATGGAAGAGGAAGAAGGGATAGTGGAGGAAGAAGAAACAAGGGATCATGAGGAAGAAGTTGAAGAAAAAGAAAGTAAACCTAAGAAGAAGAAAAGAAAAAAGTTTTGTTTTCCATGTGTTGCAGGATCTACTCTGCTTCTGTCAATCATTGTTTTCATTATTGAATTGATCCAATCCAGAAGAAAATGAGATTATTTATTAGGGTTCTTTGGATATGATATGATTCTTCTTGTTTTTAAGGACATGATTAATCTGTTTTGTAAGAAAAAATCTTGATTAGTGTTATGTAGTGTGAGTTTTGTGTTATTTCTCTGGTTCTCAAATAGATAAAAAAATTTAATAGAAAATTGAATTCTGTAAATATATTATACTGGAACCACCTATTCAAGTTGTAAAATGCTTATTAATCGAACAAAGCCAATAAAAAAGGTACAAAAACATTAATTAAGATTAGTGTTTTCATTCTTCAGTATGAACAAGAAAAGGCAAAAAGCAAGTGGTTACTTGTTTTACAAGGCAGAAAGAGAGGAAAGACTTTGACTATTCATGTCCTAAAGAGGAAGTAACGAATATATAGTCCTTCCTTCTCCCTTCCCTTTACTCTTTAGTGGAGCAATCAACTAATCAAAATTCTCAGAGACAGATCCAACACACAAGAAAGGAGTTAGTAATGGAGCTAGAATTAGGGTTAAAGGTCACAAGAACGACAGAAGATGTATCTTCCTCAGTTGATTTTCGCTTCTCAAAAGACCCATTTGGTCCTCTGGTGCTTTCTCAAGAAACAGATTCAAGGTTCATCATCATCATCCATCTTAAAGGTCTTAAACTAATGCACTCTTTGGTCTCTCTTTTTGTGTGCTTATCTAGGATAGTTTAGGGTTTGAATGGTTTAGTGCTTGATAGGGAATGTTAACTTGAGGCTTGAAAAACTGTAGGATTTAAGAAGGAAGGTATTGAGATTGATATAAACAAAGAGGGAGATAGGATTACTATAAGAGGAAGGAAACCTGTTGAAGAAATGGTTATGATTAGATGGATGGCATGGAGGAAAGAAGTTGAGATGAGAGCGTTCAAGAAAGTTTTTCTGATTCCAGATTTTGTTGATTTAGATAAGATTAAAGCTAGATTTGATGATGATGATGCTACTCTTACAATCACAATGCCTAAAAGAGTAAAAGGAATCTCTGGATTTAATCTTGAGCAAGAGGAGGAGGAGGAGGAAGAGAGTGTGGACTTTGGAGATGTGAGTGAAGTTGAGAACAGAGAAGATGTTGAAGAGGAGAATGTAGAAAGAGAAGAATCTGATGAACAGTCTGAGACTCAAGGAGAAGAAGGTTTTGGTGAGATGATGGAAGATAAAGAAAGAGAGAGTCAAGTTTTTGAAGGTGAAGAAGAAGCTAAAATTGAGGATGATGATTTAGAAAAGATTCCACAGATAGATGAACAAGACAAGGTTTTTGAATTTGATGAAGAAGAGGCCGTTGGTCAACAAGAGTTGGCTGATTCAGACATAGAGAGTGAGGACAGTGGCTTAGAAAAGCTTCTAGACATTAAAGAAGAGATTAAAAGTGAGGACACTGGATCAGGAGCAGTTCAAGAGACTGAAGAACAACAATCTGATGAGGACAGTGGCTTAAAAAATCTTCTGGACATTATAGAACAAGAAGATAAGCAAGCAGTAATGGAGGAGAAAGTTTCAGAAGAGGCCAAAAGTGATGACCTTAAATCTGAAGCAACTGAAGAGATTGAAGAACAAGCATCTGATGAGGACAGTGGCTTGAAAAATCTTCCTGGCATGATAGAAAAAGAAGATAGCCAAGAAGTAATTGAGCAGAAAGTTTCAGAAGACACTAATAGTGATGACACTGGACCAGGAGCAGTTCAGGAGATTGAAAAACAAGAATCTGATGATGAAAGTGGCTTAAAAAATCTTGAAGACATTATAGAACAAGAAGATAACCAAGAAGTAATGGAACATAAAGTTTCAGAAGAGATTAAAAGTTTTGACACTGGATCTGAAGCAGTTAAAGAGACTGAAGAACAAGAATCTGATGATGACAGTGGCTTAAAAAATCTTAGAGACATTATAGAGCAAGAAGTAATTGACCAGAAAGTTTCAGAAGAGGCTAAAAGTAATGATATTGGATCAGGAGCAGTTGAAGAGACTGAAAAACAAGAAACTGATGAGGTCGTTGGAACCAGTAAGAAGAGTAGAGAAATGAAAAATAAAAAGACTGATGGTGGTGATGATGATAATGATGGTTTGAGAAAGGCTCAAAGGATTAAAGAACCAGAGAGATACAACAAAGAAAGCAAGATTCAAGAAATGGTTGAAGAAGAAACATGTGGTCAAGAGAAGATAAAAAATAAGGATTCCAAGGGAGAGTTTGATGGGAAAGAAGCTCAAACTGAGGATGAAGACTTAGAAAAGAGACAACAGACTGATGAAGAAGGAAAAGTTAGTCAACATGAGATTGCTGATTCAGTTACAGAGAGTGAAGACAGCAGTAGCTTAAGAAAGCCTACAGATATTTTAGAACAAGACGTGAAGAAGCAAAATGATTCACAAGCAGAGACTAGGAGTGATGGTTTTGGGTCTGGAGCATTTGAAGAGATTCAAAAACAAGAACCTCGTGAGAATGATGATGGCTTGAGAAAGGCTCAAGGAATTAGAGAGGCAAAGAGACGCAATGAAGTAAGAAAGAACCAAGAAATGGTGGAAGGGGAAACAAGTGATCCTGAGAAGAGAAAAAATGTAAAGATGGAGACAAAAAGAAAGGATCCAAAAGAAGACGTTGATGCAGAGATAGGAGAAGGATCCACACCAAACACTGAGAGAACACAAGTAGTTTCAGAAACTGAGACAAAACTTGAGGAACATGAATCTGAAAAGCCAGAAGCAGATGAGGTAGACAAGAAACATGAATTTGCTGAGAAGAAAGCAGAGGAAAATACTAAGGTGAGAAGAGAAAGTGAAGATAGAAGAAGCTTAGTAAAGCTGAAGGAGAATAAAGAGCAACATTCTAAGGGACAAAAGCAACAAGACAAACATGAAAGTATCAAAGAAGTGGTGGAAGAGGAAGCTCCAGAGGCAGAGACAAACATAGAGAATGATGTTCAGAAACAAGTTCAGGAGTCTGAAGCATCAGAGGTGGATACTATAGTTAAAACATATGATGAAGGAAAAGATAAGAAGAAGAGTATGAATATGGAGACTGCACCAAACATTGCAGAAACTGAGACAAAACCTGAAGATTTTGAATCTGAGAAACAAGGAGCAGATAAGGTAGACAGGAGGCATAAACTGGTAGAGAAGAAACAAGAGGAAGATGCTAATGTGAAAGCAAAATGTGAAGACATAAGCTTACTAAAGTTTCAAGAGGATGAAGAGCAACATTCTAAGGGAAGAAAGCGACAAGACAAACAAGAAAATATCAAAGAATTGGTGGAAGAGAAAACTCAAGAGGCAGAGAAAAATATAGGGAATGATGTTCCGAGACCAGCGAAAGAGACTGAACCTGAGGAGGGTGCGTCAGGGAAAGTAATGGAGCAGAAAGTTTCAGAAGAGACTAAAAGTGATAACATTGGATCAGGAGCAGTTGAAGAGATGGAGGAAAAGATAACAGGTGGTCAAGAGAAGAGTGCCAAGGAAGAATCCAAAGGAAAAGAAACTCAAACTGAGGATGAAATAGGCAAGATTTTGGAATCTGCTGAAGAGAAAAATGTTGATCAACAAGAGTTTGCTGATTCAGTTACAGACAGCAGAAGCTTAAGAAAGCCTCCAGATATTTTAGAACAAGAGAATAACCAAGAGGTGATGGAGCAGAAAGATTCACAAGAAGAGACTAGAAGTGATGGTTTTGGATGTAGAGATTCTGAAGAGATTGAGAAACAAGAACCTTGTGAGCAGCTAGATGGAGCAAGTAAAAGTAGAGAAAAGGCTGATGATGATGGCTTGAGCAAGGTTCAAGGGAGTGAAGAACCAGAGAGACGCAATGCAGTAAGAAAGATCCAAGAAATGGTGGAAGGGGGAACAAGTGATCATGAAAAGAGAAAAATTGTAAAGATGGAGACAAAGAATAAGGATCCAAAAGAAGACGTTGATGCAGACATTGGCAAAGGATCACAAGTAGTTGCAGAAACTGAGACAAAAGCTGAGGAGCTTGAATATATAAAACCAGAAGCAGATGAGGAAGACGAAGATACTAAGGTGAGAAGAGAAAGTGAAGACAGAAGAAGCTTAGTAAAGCTTAAGGAGAATGAAGAGCAACAAGACAAAGAAGAAAATATCAAAGAGTTGGTGAAAGAGAAAGCTCCAGAGGCAGAGACAAGTATAGAGAATGATGTTGCGAAACCAGTTCAGGAGACTGAAGCATCAGAGATAGAAAATGAAGGGAAAGAGAAGAAGAAGAAGAAGAAGAAGAAAAATGTGGAGATGGAGACTGCACCAAAAATTGCAGAAAATGAGACAAAACCTGAAGATGAGGTAGACAACATACATAAACTGGTAGAGAAGAAAGACGAAGAAGATGCCAATGTGAGAGCAAAAGGTGAAGACAATATCTTAACAAAGCTCCAAGAGAATGAAGAACCACATTCTCAGGGACGAAAGGGACAAGACACACACGATGACGTCAAAGAATTTGTGGAAGAGAAAATTCCAGAGGCAGAGACAGATATGATCAATGATGTTCCGAAACCAGTTCAAAAGATCGAAGTACCAGAGGCAGGTACGTTAGGGGAAACAGGTGATCAAGGAAAAAAGAATAAAAGTGCAGCAAAAATTGTAGTAACTGAGACAAAACCTGAGGATTTTGAGTCTGATAAAGTAGAAGGAGATGAGGTTGAGAAGATACACAAACTGGTTGAGAAGAAAGAGGAGGAAGATGAGAATAATGCTGAGGTGGGAACACAAAGTGAATACATTAGCTCCATAAAGCCTCAAGAAGCTGGAGAACAACTATCTCAGGGACAAAAGCGACACGAAAAGATCAAAGAACTGGTGGAAGAGGAAACTGAAGAGGCAGAGACAAATATAAAGAATGATACTCCAAAACCAGTTCAGGAGGAAACAAAAGATGCTGAGTCAAGAAAACCACAAGAGACTATTAGACAACAAAATTTAGATGAATGTGAAAGATCCAAGCAAGAAAGCAAGACTCAAGAACTGGTTAAGAGCAAAACAAATGATATAGAGAAAGAGGAGAAAGAGATTCAAGAGACAGTAACAAAGGAGCAAGAGTCATGTAGACCAAAAGTACTCGGAGAAGAAGAAGAAAAGTTCAAAGAACTAGATGAAGAGAAGCCACATTTTTCGAAAAATAGAAAATCCAAGGATGAAGAAGATATTCTAGAGAAGAAAACAGAACTTGGTGATGATAATGATATCTCAAGAAAAGCTGGAGATTCAGATCCTAAAGAAAAGGTTGATGCGGAAATGGGCAAAGGATTCGCACCAAGCATTGCAGAAACTGAGACAAAACCTGAAGATTTTGAATCTGAGAAACCAGTAGAGAAGAAAGAAGAGGAAGATGCTAATGTGAGAAGAAAAAGTGAAGACAAAAGCTTAATAAAGCTTCATGAGAATGAAGAACAACATTCTGAGGGAAGAAAGAGACAAGACAAACAAGAAAGTTTAAAAGAATTGGTGGAAGAGAAAGCTCCAGAGGAAGAGACAAATGTAATGAATGATGTTCAGACGCCAGTTCACCAAGAGCTTGAGCCAGAGGTGCGTACAAACACTGGAGAAACTGAGACAAAACCTGATGAGTTTGTGTCTGATCAACTAGAATCATATAAGGTAGGAGAGATACATGAACTGGTTGAGAAGAAGAAAGAGGTGGAAGATGAGAAAAATGCTGAGGTTGGAACAGAAAGTGAAGAAGGCATTATTAGCTTATTAAAGCCTCAGGAAATTGGAGAACAACAACAGTCTCAGCAACACTACAACCAAGGAAAGATTGAGGAACTGGAGGAAGAGAAAACTCCAGAAGCAGAGACAAATAGAGAAACTGATACTTTGAAACCAGTTCAGGTGGATACACCAAACATTTCAGAAACTGAGACAAAACCTGAAGATATTGAATCTGAAAAACAAGGAGCAGATGAGGTAGACAAGATGCATAAACTGGTGGAGAAGAAAGAAGAGGAAGATGCTAATGCGAGATCAAAAAGTGAAGACAGTATCTTAACAAAGCTTCAAGAGGATGAAGAACAAGAAAAACAAGAAAATATCAAAGAATTGGTCGAAGAGAAAACTCCAGAGGCAGAGAGAAGTATGGCGAATGATGTTCTGAAACCAGTTCAAGAGATCGAAGTACCAAACATTGCAGTAGCTGAGACAAAAACTGAGGAGTTTGAATCTGATAAAGTGGAACCTGATGAGGTTGAGAAGATACACAAACTTGTTGAGAAGAAAGAGGACGAAGATGAAAAAAATGGTAAGGCTAGAACACAAAGTGAAGATATTAGCTCCATAAAGCCTCAGGGAGTTGGAGAACAACAATCTCAGGGACAAAAGCCACACGACAAACACGAAAAGATCAGAGAATTGGTGGAAGAGAAAACTATAGTGAATGATACTCCCAAGCCAGTTCATGAGGAAACAAATCATGCTGAGTCAAGAAAACCACAAAAGACTAGTAGACAGCAAGAGTTGGATGAATGTGAAAGATCCGAGCAAGAAAGCAAGACTCAAGAACTGGTGAAGAGCAAAACAAATGATGAAGAGAAAGAGGAAAAATACATTGAAGAAACAGTAACAGAGGAGCAAGATTCATATAGACCAAAAGAAATTGGAGAAGAAGAAGAAAAGGTCCAAGAACTAGCTGAAGAGAAGCCGCATTTTTCTAAAAATAGAAACCTCAAGAGGGAAGAAAAAGTTCCAGAGAAGAAAATAGAACTTGGTGATGATGATTGCTCAAGAAAAGCTGGAGATTCAGGTGCTAGAGAAGAGCTTGATGCGGAAATGGGCAAAGGATTTGCATCAAACACTGCAGAAACTGAAAAAAAACCTGAAGTTTCTGAATCTGAGAAACTAGGAGCAGTTGAGCTAGAGAAGATACAAAAACCAGTAGAGAAGAAAAATGAGAAAGCTGCTTGTGTGAGAAGAAAAAGTGAAGACAGAAGCTTAATAAAGCTTCAGGAGAATGAAGAACAACATTCTGAAGGAAGAAAGAGACAAGACAAACAAGAAAGTATAAAAGAATTGGTGGAAGAGAAAGCTCCAGAGGAAGATCAAGATCTTGAACCAGAGTTGGGTACATTAGGGGAAACAGGTGGAAAGGAGAAGAAGAAAAGTGAAAGTTTGGATGCCAAAGAAGAACTTGATGTGAAATTGGGCGTACCAAACACTGGAGAAACTGAGAAAAAACCTGATGAGTTTGTGTCTGATAAAATAGAATCAGATAAGGTAGAAGAGATGCATGAACTTGTTGAGAAGAAGAAAGAGGTGGAAGATGAGAAAAATGCTGAGGTTGGAACAGAAAGTGAAGAAGGCATTATTAGCTTATTAAAGCCTCAGGAAATTGAAGAGAAAACTCCAGAGGCAGAGACAAATAGAGAAACCGATACTTTGAAACCAGTTCAGGAGAGAGGTGAGGAAAAACAAAAGATCCCAAAACTTTCCCAAGAGGAAAGAAAGGAGCAGCCACAGGAGCACAAAGAGAAAATGGTAGAGACAGGGAACAAGATTGATGATGCTGGCTCAAGAAAAGTTCAAGAGATTATTACACAACATGACTTGGAGACAGATACTCCAACACCAGTTCAGGAACCAGATTTGGATATGTTAGGGAAAACAGGTAATGATGGAAAAGAAAAGAAGAAAAGTGTTGCAATGGAAATAAAAAATGGCCAGGGAGTTGCAGCAAATATTGCAGAAACTGAAACAAAACATGAGGAGCTTGATAAGTTAGAATCAGAAGAGGTAGAGGAACTGGTTGAGAAGAAAGAAGAGGACAATGCTAAGAAGAGAGGACAAAGTAAAGACAGTATCAGACAGCAAGACTTGGATGAAGTAGAAAGATGTGAGAAAGAAAGCAAGATCCAAGAAGTGGTGAAAGGCAAAACAAATGATGAAGAGAAAGAGGAGAAGGGTTTTTCGAAAAATAGAAAAATCAAGGAGGAAGAAAAAAATCCAGAAAAGAAAACAGAACTTGGTGATGATGATGATATCTCAAGAAAAGATGGAGATTCAGATGCCAAAGAAGAGGTTGATGCAGAAATGGGCAGAGGTTTTGCACAAAGCATTGCAGAAACCGATAAGGTAGACAAGATACATGAAATGGTTGAGAAGAAAGAGGAGGAAGATGATAAAAATGCTAAGGTTGGAACACAAAGTGAAGATATTAGCTTAATAAAGCCTCAGGAAGTTAGAGAACAAGAAAAGATTGAGGACTTGGTGGAAGAGAAAACTCCAGAAGCAGAGACAAATATAGGAAATGATACTTTGAAACCAGTTCAGGAGACAGGTGAGGGAATACAAAAGAAGCAGCGAGAAGAGCACAAAGAGAAAATGGTTGATGATGCTGGCTCAAAAAAAGGTCAAGAGATTATTAGAAAACAAGACTTGGATGAAGCAGAAAGATGTAAGGAAAGCAAGACCAAAGAATCGGTGAAAAGCAAAACAAAGGATGAAGAGAAAGGAATTGAACAAACAGAAACAAAGGAGCAAGTGTCATATAAACCAAAAATACTATGGGATGAAGAAACTGCAGAGAAGAAAATAGATTTTGATGAAGTTTTAAGAAGAGTTGGAGATGCTGAAGAGAGAGATTCAGATTCCAAAGAAGAAGTTGATGCGGAAATGGAGAAAGGGTTCAAACCAAATATTGCAGAAACTGAGACAAAAGGTGAGGAGTTTGACTTTCAAAAAATGGAACCAGATGAGAATGATGATGTACATGAAGTGGTTGAAGAGAAAAATGCTAAGGTGAGAGAACAAAGCGAAGACAGAAGCTTAATAAAGCTTCAAGAGAATGAAAGACAACATTCAAAGAGACAAAAGCGACAAGATAAAACTGCAGAGACAGAGATTAATATTCCAACACCAGTTGGAGTTACTGGACAAAGAGATTCAGATGCCAAAGAAGAGTTTGATCCTGAAATTGGCAAAGGAAGCACACCAAACATTTCAGAAACTGAGAAAAAAGCTGATACAGTAAAACCAGTTGAGGAAGACATGATAAATGAACAGGTTGAGAAGAAGAAGAAGAAAGAGGAAAATGATAAGGTGAGAAGACAAAGTGAAGACACTGGCTTAAAGAGGCTCCAAGAACAAAAGTCTCAGGGACCAAATGGTCAAAACAAACAAGAAAATACCAACGAATTGGTGGAAGAGAAACCAGTTTTAAAGGGTAAAAGACCAGAGGTGAGTACGTTAGAGACATATCAGGAAAAAGTATTTGCAGAAACAGAAACAAAGGATCAAGAGTCTTATAGACCAAAAATACTTGAAGGAGAAGACACAATCCAAGAACTAGCTGAAGAGAAGATTGACGTTTCAAGAAAAGTTGAGGAGGAAGAAGAAACTGCAGAGAATAATACAGAACTTAGTGATGATGATATGTCAAGAAAAGGTTCAGATGCAATGAAGGGACAAGAAGAAAACGAAGAGTTTCAAGAATTAGCACAGGAAGAACAAATAAGTGATGGCGGCAAGAAGATCGTTGGAGAGGCAATATCTGAGAATGGTAGGCAAAGAAAAGTTCAAGAGATTGATGAACATCGACCACATGAAGAAGATAAACATGGAAATCAATTCCAGAAACTTATAGGAGGAGAAACAAGTGGTCAAGGAGAAAATGAAGATGTAGAGAGCGAGAAGAAAACAACAGAGGCAGACAAAAGATTCAGAGAATCTCAAGAGATTGAAAGAACAGACTCAGATGTAAAATATGGTAAAGGAGAGATGTTTCAAGAACTCCAAAAAGAAGAGAAGGAGGATGAAGCTGACATACCAGCAAGAGGGACAGGTACAATACAACAAGAATTGGTTAATCTGAAGAGTCAAATGGAGCAAGAAACTGGAGAAGAGACTCAAGAACTGTTGGATGAGAGAATCAATCATTGCAAAGAAGAAGAAGAATCAGAGACCAAAACTGATGATGTCATTAGAATGCTTGAAGATACTAAAGAACAGGAGTTGCTTGAACCAACAAGGAACCATGTTAGCAAGATTGAAGAAGTGATAGAAGAGAAAATCGCTGAGCCGGAGATAGAAGATGAATATGGTGGCTTACGTAAAGTACACGGTACTGAAGAACATGAGTCATATGAACGCTATAAGAGCAACATAACTGGGACAGAGGAACCAAGTGGTCAAGAGAAGGAGGTTAAGGAGAAAGTTTTAGAGTTTAGGACAGTTACAGAGAAAGAAAAATCCCCTAATTCTCAAGAGATTAAGGACCAACGACCTGACAAAGAGAGTCATGAGAAACCATACAAAATTCAAGAACTGGTGGGAGCTAAAGACAATGACCACCATGATGGATTCAAGAGACCTGTAGTGCAAGACAAGAAGCAAGAAACAGAGAAAAAAGAGATGAATAGAGAATTAAAGGAGGGGGATACTGTGGAGAGGAGAACAAAACCTGAAGATGTTAGCTTTAGAAAAGGCCAAGATGATGAAGATCCAGAAATGAGTAAACCTTATATGCCACAAGAAGAAGACAAGATCCAGGAACCAGTGGAAATGGGGACAAGTGACTACAAAGAAACAGTCAAGAAACAAGATGGGAATGATACTTTAAGAAGTAAAGAGTCTGGAAAACCAAATCTAGATGAACTTGAGAGACACAGTGAGCAAAAGAAGATTTATCAAGGAGAAGACAAGATCCAGGAACCAGTGAAAATGAGAACACATGATTACAGCGAGAAAGCCAAGAAACAAGATGGGGATGTGGAAGAAGAAGGAAATGTGGAAGATGGCAGCTCAGAACAGCTTCAGGAGATTGAAGAAAGAAAATCACATGAAGATTGGTCAGATGAGATGCAGGAGAAGAGAAAAGATTTTTGTAAAGAGGAAGCAACTGATCCTAAAGAATCAGAGGAAAAGAATAAAACTAGAGCAGTGGAGGAGGAGAAGGAGATTGTGGAGAGGAGGACAAAAAATAGAGATGGTAGCTTGAGAAATGTTCAAGATGATGCAGAGCCAGAACCGAGTACACCTTATAAGCCACAAGAAGAAGACAAGGTCTATGAATCAGTGGAAACGGGAACAAGTGGTTACAGAGAAAAGGTCAAGAAACAAGATGGGACTGATACTTTAAGGAGAAAAAGTCCCAAAGATAAACACACAGCTGAATCAGACCATTATGACCATGAAGAAGAACAAGAGGAAGAGAAGGTTATTGCCAAGACAGAACTGAAAGCTGAGGAAGATACCACAGGAAAGATTCAAGAAACTGAAAAGCAGAAGCCTGATGAATTGCAGAGATCTTTGGTACAAGAAAATATGCAAGAAACAGAGGAAAAGGAAGAAATTACAGCCATGGAGGAGAGTGAGATTCTGGAGAGAAGGACAGAAACTGAAGATGGTAGCTTAAGAGAAGTTGGAGATGGAAAAGAAGCAGAATCTAGTAAACCTTATAAGAGACGAGATGAAAACAAGATCCAGGAACTAGAGAAAATGGAGACAAGTGAGTACAGAGAAAAATTCAAGACACAAGATGGAGATGATGTCTTAAGAAGCCAAGAAACTGAGAAACTGGATTTAGTTAAAGAAGAAGCAACTGGTCCCAAAGATGAACAAGGAGAAAGTGAAGAAGAAAGATATGAGAAAGTTGCACACACGGAGACAAAAGTTGAGGATGAGATCAACAAAGAGGTAGAAGAGATCCAAAAAGAAGAACAAGATTCCTTAGATGATCCTATGACAAAGATTAAAGAAAGTGAAAAAGAAGAATTACATGAACCAGAGATTCACGAGAAGCTACACATAGTCCAAGACTTTGTTGAAGAGGAAACAGTGGATCAAGTAGATGATGAAGATAGTTCAAGAATACTGCAAACTATGAAAGAACATGAAGATGGCAAGGAACAAAGAAATATTCCCAAAATACATGATCCTAAAGTGAATGGAGAAGATGAAGAAAGAATCGTCGAGAAAGAAGCACATGTCCAAGAACTTGAAGGAAAAACAGAGAAATTCAAAGATTACAATGAAGAAAGGAGAGAACAAGAAACCAAACGAGGGAAGACTGTTGAGACAAAAAGTGACTATGTTAATGTGAATAAGCGTGGAGAGACTAAAGTGCAAGAATCAGATGAAAAGAAAAATCAAGAACCGGGAGAAAAGATTGAAGAACTAGAGAGGAAAGAAGCGAGTAATCATGGGGTAAAGCTGGTGACTGAAGAGGATAGCCTTACAGAAGGTCAAGAGTTTATAGAAAATGAGTCATCAAAGAGACGACCAATGGGACAAGAGAACATTCAGCAACTTAAGGATGCAGAAAACGAAGAAGATGAGGGGAAATCAGATGCAGGAGTGGAGATGCAAGCTAAGATTAATGAAGAGAAGGGTATAAAAGCAAGTGAGAAAGTTGCAGAAGTGGATATGCAAGCTAATATTGGCATCAGAGTGAAGGACCAAGAAACCAAAAGACAAGAACCATATGAGCTTCTAAAGAATGAAGAGCATGACAAGATTCCAGAACCGACTCTGGAAGGAACAAAACATGAAAGAGAGGGGGATAGAGAAGTTGAAGAGATGAAGAGAAAATATGAGGATGTTAGCTCAAGAGAGGTTCAGAAGATTAAAGCAGAAGAAGAAGATGGTTTAGAGAAACACAAGAAACTAAGTGGGTTCCAAGAGGAATTGAATGAAGCTGGAGGATATAATGAAGTGCTGGAGAGAAAATCTATGGAAGATTCAAGCCAGTCCCAAGATGTTGAAGAAAAGAGATCAGATCAGACAGAGAGATATGCAGAACAAGAAGAGCTAGTGGCCGAGGTGGAAGAAGAGAAAGAGCAGAACGAGAAGGCAAAGAGAATGCCTCAGGTGGAGTCAAAAGCTAATGATGATATTTCAGAGAAGAATGAGACACAAAGATTGAGAGGACAAAAGAAAAACAAAGATTCTCAGCCAGTGGCGAAAACAGAAACAAGTGATAAGAGGAAAGAAGAAAGGGAAGAGAAGATTGTTGGTGAAGCTGTCACAAGAGATGAATGTGATAGCTCAAGGAAAAATCAAGAACATGAAGAAGAGCAGTCAGATAAACTAGGAAGACTTGGGGAAGAGGAGTCAGATAAACTAGGAAAACATGGGGAAGAAGAAGAAGAAGAGATGAGTGGGTCACTTGCAATAGAGGAAACAAGCAAGGATAAAGGAGAAAACAGAAGAAACAGAGCAGGTGCAGACACAACAAGCAAGGATGATGGCTTTAGAGAAGAGCAATTAGCGATAGTTTTGAGACACGAAGAGCAAGACAAGAAGCAGTTAGTTTCGGAAAAGAACACAAGTAAAGCAAAGGATAAAAGGAATCAAGAGACAAAGAGTAGAGATGAAAGCTCAAGAAGGACTAGAGAAAACGAAAAGCAAGAGTCTCATGAGCAAAAGAGAAACTATGAGGAACAAGACAAGAGTTTGGTGGAAGAGAAAATAAACAACCAAGAAAAGGAAGACAAGAAGAGCATGTTTTTGGAGATCTCTGAAGACCATGAATCAAAAGAACCTGAAAGAATGAGAAAACAAGACAAGGGGAGTGAACTAGTGCAACAAAGATCAACAGATAACCTTCAAGATGAAGAAACAAAAATCAGTGACAAAGAATCAAGCAAGACTCATCAGCTCATAGAAACAGTAACAGGTGCAGAAGAGAGACGTAAAGAACAAGGAAGGATCAAACAATCGGAGGAAGACACAACACATTCTTGCAAAGAAACTGAGTGTGAAGAGGGTAGCTCAAAAAAGATTCAAGAGATAGACAAAGAAGAATCAGATGAACCAAGAAAAGATGTGGAAAGAGACAAGAATCAACCAGTGGATAGTGAAACAAGTGAAGACGACTCAGAAGAGCTAGAAGTTGAAGTTGAAGACTCAGAAGAAGATTGGGAAGCTGAAGTGATTCAAGAAATGGATTCAGATGATGATAATGATAAACATAGAAAGATAAGAAGAATTAAACTAGGGTTTAGGTTAGTTGGAGGATCAACATTGTTTATGTCACTTATAGTCATAGTTTTCCGTTTGATTCATTCCAAGAGAAAAATAAAATGTTACAAGTTCTAACTTATAACCAAAGCACAGTATCATCTTTTTATTTTTCGAGTTTTCAATTGATATGAGATTAAGATCCACACAACTCTTATTACAGTGAGACTTTACAGCTTACTTAGAACACAAGAGGAGCCATGATACGCAGAGGATTGTGTGAGCATCATCAACAAATC